GTGAATTCCATAGCCTGGTCAACAGAGAACTGCGTTCTTTTTCCTTTTAATTGACTTACCTTATCCCTTCTATCAAGTTAAGGGGGGCGTTTGGATGGGGAAGAAAATTTTCCTTTTAAAGTTCTTAAAATTTTTATTATAAAATTATTTATATATTTTTAGATATTAATATTATAATTAAAAAAATAAAAATGATATTTTTATTTTTTATTTTTTTAACATAATTTTCAATTTATAAAATTTAAATTTAAAATTTTATTTATTTAAAGAAATTTGAATTATTTTTACTCAGATTAATAAATTATGAATAAAAAATATTAATTATTAAAAGGTGAATAAAGGAAGAAAAATAAAAGGGTTGCTTCCCCTGCTATTTTATAGTACAATACTAAAAAAAAGGTTAAATGCTTAATTTGGTCCCTTAACTTTAGAAAATAAACATTTTTGGTCTCTCAATAATTTTTTGCACTTTTTTGATCCCTTAACTATACAAAATGCACTCCGTTAGTTCTTTTGTTAATTTGGTTCGTTAACCCTGCTTAGGTGGCATTTTTTATATTCTTTTTGATGATATGGAGAGCAAAACTTAAAAAAGTGATGATATGCATAAAACTTCTGCCAAAATCACGTCAAATCCATTCAAATGGGTCCCACATCACCATTTTTACCCATCAGTTACTGTTTTTCTTCTTTCCATATTCGACAGAACCCAGCAGATCTGGGTTCGATGTAACCCAGCAAATAGGTTCCATGAAGGAGTGGAATCTCTGCTTTATGAGATAGTAATCTCGCGAAGAATAGATGAGATATTCAGAAGAGGATTTTGCATTGTTTAATTTAGTAATTTTCCATGTTGATCTCCTGTTGTTTTGGTCGCCGATTAATTTCGCGTTGTCGAATATGATCTGATCGATTTACTTCTTCAGCATATTTTTGCCATTTTTGGAAATCTGCTATTGTTTCATGCTTCTGGAATCTCCGTTTCTTGAAATTGTTGCACGTAGATCTGAAAATCAAACCATTTTTAGGATCTTTTTGTTATATTAATTATATATGAATCTTGTTCAGCAACTAAGAAAATTAGAATCAAAGATGATGACATCAAGATTAATCGGTACAACAATAATCGGAAGGAAATTTCTGTCTTTATTCTCTGGATACTTGCATTTTCAGTATTTTGCTATTGTCTAATCTTTTTCTGCTCTGATTGCTATCCAGTTCTACTGAAATCTGCAAATGCAAAACGATAACTCCTCTAAGGCCCATCGCGACCATGGCACCGAAGGCCAGAACCAACAAAACGATACTGTTTACCCCTCCCCCTCCACCTCCCCATCCAACTCATCCATTTTGCCTCTCTACAACCCCCGCATCCTCATGCAACAGCACTAAGACATGATAAACCGCCATAACCTCTGCCTGACACGTCTCCGTAAAGCCACAAAAGAAGCCAATTCTCTCCGTCATGAGAACGCGGCCCTCCAGTCTCTCAATCGCGACCTCAACAAGCAACTCAGCAGCATAATCCAGGCATCTGTTCAAAGCCACTTCACATCCTCGGATTACAACACAACGCAGCAACTGGGTTCGATGGAACCCAG